CGGCGGGGAGAGGAGAGCTGGGGCAGGGGCAGGGGCAGATGAAGCAGGGGAGTTGGAGCAGAGACAGAGGCCTGAGTGGCCGGGAGGGAGGTCCCTGGCCTGATGGGGAGAGCACAGCCTGGGAGACGCCAAGGTGGATCCGGGGACGTGAGGCAGAGGGGAGCAGGACACTGACAGCCGGGTCCCCACAGTTCCCGCTGCTGCTGCTGCCTCTGCTGCTGCTGCTGCTGCCAAGCCCCAGCCTGCTCGGGACCCCCAGCTGCTCCTTCTCCCACAACCCCATCTCCTCCAACTTCAAAGTCAAAATCAGCAAACTGGTGAGCAGCCCTGCCGGCCCACTCCCGCCGCCCCAGGGAGGCCGGGGTTCGGGGTCGGTGCTGAGTCTCTGTCACCCTCCCAGGACCTCCCGTCCCTCCCCCAGTCTCTGCCTCCATTTCTGAGACTTCATAGTTCTGCTTAGCCCAGTTCTGAGCCAGGCCTGACCCTGCTTTCGCCTGCAGTCTGACTACCTGCTCAAGGATTATCCAGTCACTGTGGCCGCCAACCTGCAGGACGTGAGTCACGCGTGGGCGGGGCCTGGGACGGAGGAGGGCAGCGCCCGTGGGACCAGGCTGGTGGGGACAGTCACCACCGCCCAGCCTGGGGGCCGGGCCCAGCATCTGCCCCTGACCGAGCCTGGCTCTCTCCAGGAGCCGTTCTGTGGGAAGCTCTGGCACCTGGTCCTGGCCCAGCGCTGGATGGAGCGGCTCAAGACCGTGGCCGGGTTAAAGATGCAAGAGCTCCTGGAGACGGTCAACACAGAGATTCACTTTGTCACCTCATGTGGCTTCCAGGTCAGTCTTGAACTTGGGGTCGAGTGAGGGGACGCTGTCCCTGGCCTTGGTACAGGAGCCCTCCTGGGCCTCCCCCGGTGTCCTTTCGGTTCCCAAGGGAGGTGGAGCTGGAACCCCACTCCCTGAAGTCCCCCAGCACCGTGTTGCTGGGGCACAGCAGGGCGCAGATTCCTTGGGCCCTGAGGGAGGGTGCTGCTGAGGGCTTCTCTGCACCGCCGCCAGGGAGCAGAGGCTGAGCAGGAGGTTCCTGGCGCCCTCAGCCGACGCGGTGGTGACCTCTCCCCCCTGCCCTCAGCCCCTCCCCAGCTGTCTTCGCTTCGTCCAGACCAACATCTCCCACCTCCTGCAGGACACTGTGGCTCAGCTGGAAGCCATGAAGCGCTGGATCACTCACCGGAACTTCTCTCAGTGCCTGGAGCTGCGGTGCCAGCCCGGTAACAGCCCCAGCCCCCTACCCTACACTTGCCTGGTGCCCCTGCCCTCAGTCCCTAAAGCCCTGCTCCTTGTGTCTCCCTGTGAGACCGAGGCTCGCTGAGTTTCCCAGGCTGGGTTTGAATTTGTGATCCTCCTGCCTCAGCCTCCTGGAATGCTGGGATTACGTGTGTGTGCCACCATGCCTGGCTCTACAGTGCATCTTAAACAAACTTGCCACAGGTCAGGAGTTCCACAGCCACTTGGGGCAAATGGCTGCTCTTCTGAATGGCCCGGTACTATAGCATCCAAATGAAGTGATTTTATTGGAATATGATGAAAGACAATGCCCTGTGAAAACTCAACTTTTTGGGTTTATGAAAGCTTTCTTTTGTGAGCAAGGGTATGTAATCAATCTCGTAAATGAACCTACTGGTAAGAAATGAGTAGATATTTTGTTTGGGGGGATCAGAGTTATATCTGAATATGTATATATTCTAGATAGAAATCTACATAGAATACTGTAGTTAGAATCTGCAAATATTCTATCACTGTTGTCATGGTTTTTCATTTCATTTGTTTGAGACAGGGTCTCACTATGTAGTGCAGGTTGAGATCGCACTCACTATGTAGCCCAGGCTGGCCTCGAACTAACAGAGACTCTTTTGCCTCAGCCTCCCGAGTGCTGGGATGACAGGCGAGCGCCACCACACTTTTTTCTTTTTTTTTTTTTTTTTTTTTTTGTGTACTGGGGATCGAACTCAGGACCTTGGGCTTGCGAGGTAGGCGGCAGAACCACTGATCCAAATCCCCTGGTCCAGTCTGGGCTTCTTGTCCTTCTTTTACTGGGGATGAAGAACCTAAGTCCTAGACAAGCTGCCGGCCAGGCCAGGTCACACAGCAAGTGCCAGGCAGCCCTTCCTGTCCTCTCACCACAGACCCCTCCACTCCACTGCCCCCAAGGAGTCCTGGGGCCCTGGAAGCGACAGAGCTGCCTGCCGCACCATCGCACTCCCCGCTCCTGCTGCTGCTGCTGCTGCTGCCCGCCGCCTTCCTGCTGCTGCTCGCTGTCTGGTGTCGGTGGTGGTGGCGGCGGCGGCGACGGTGCAGAACGAGGTGCAGGACGCCCGTCCCCCAGGAGCCGGTGAGCACCCGCGGTGGGGGCGGCAGGGGCTGGAGCTGGAGGCCCCGCCCCCGGCCTAGGCTGACCCCGCCGGGGCGCGGGTGCCCCCTCCCTTCCGTCCCTAGGCGGTGCTGCTCCTCCAGAGCTGAGTTGCCTGGCTCCTGGTCCTGGTGAGTCCTGTACCTGCGGCCCGGGCTCTGTGTGTGTGTGTGTGTGTGTGTGTGTGTGTGTGTGAGTGTGTGTGTGTGCAGGGAGCCAGGAAGGGCTGGGAGCAGGGGAAAGGCAGAAAGACCACAGGACTAGAAGAGGGGCCTGGCATGGTGGTGCACGCCTGTGATCCTAGCATGTGAGAGGCTGAGGCAGGAGGATCACAAGTTCAAGCCCAGCCTGGGCAATTTACTGACTTGGAGAGACCCTGCCTTCAAATAAAAAAGGTCCGGTGGCGAGGAGGCAGCTCACTTTCCCATCCCCCTTCTGCCTCTCTTAGAAGCTTGCTTTCTCTCAATAATTTTTTCCTACATATATATACCAGGAATCAAACTCTGGGCCTTGTGCTTTCAAGGCAGACAGGGAAACCACTGAGCTAAATCCCGGTCCTGGTTTGGTTTTGTTTTGGGGACAGGTCTCACTATGTAGTCTAGACTGGCCTTAAAATTCTTGCCTCAGCCTCCCAGAAAGAAAACATTTTTATCAGAAACACCAAATCTGTATTGGGGGGGCCCTACCAAGAATCAAACTCAGGTCCTTGTGCTTTCGAGGCAGGTGGCTCCACTGAGCTAAATCCCTGGCCCCAAGTCTGTATTTTTGAGACAGGGTCTTGCTATGCAGTTTAGGCTGGCCTTGAACACTCAGCAGTCCTCCTGCCTCAGCCTCCCATGTATGTGCTAGGATGATATACGTGCACATCACAAACAACAAAAGCAGAATTAGGTGAAATTAAAAACTCACCTCCTCAGTTGCCCTGGCCCCATTTCAGGGGCTCAGGATTTGCAGGGCTGGGACTTCCTTACTGGAGGGTGAACAGCTTGGCGGCAGAGGTCGCTGGACAGGTGCCCTAGCAGACAGTGAGCCCTGGCCACTCCAAGCTAAGCGCCCTCCCTATCCTCCCCGCTGACCCACGAACAGCCCAGCGAGGTGGACACATTTGTCATCCTGTTCACAGAGGAGGACGCTGAGGCCCGGGTAGAGGAGCCACCTGCCAGAGGACGCCCGAGCACAGCGGAAATTGGCGGCAGTCTGATGTCTCACTCGTCAATGCTGTTGCCCTGGCGCTCTTCCCAGGACCGAGGCGAAGCCAGGACATGGCCCCAGCCCCACTCACCCCGCGCTGTACAAAGCCCTGTCCTCAGAAACCTGTACATAAATCCTTCTTTTCTACCAGCTCTGGTCGGCCTGTCTGTGGAAGGGGCAGGGTGTGGACAGTGCTGTTAGCCTCTGGTTTTTCAGTTAATGCAGTGTTTCCTTCATCTCGTGTTCTTTTTCTTTTCTTGCCTTCCTTCCTCTCTTTCTTTGAGGCATGGCCCAGGCTGACCTGGAGCTTTGGATCCCCCTGCCTCAGCCTCTCCAGTATTGGGATTAGAGGGGTAAGCCACCAGGCCGGGGGTCAGTCCCTGTTTTCTGAGGACCCCTGGAGCCCAGGGCAGCATTGGGCAATGCCAGAACCCAGATCTGAAGGAGAGCCAGCCTGGTCCCGCATAGCCTCTCTTTCTTTGAGGCATGGCCCAGGCTGACCTGGAGCTTTGGATCCCCCTGCCTCAGCCTCTCCAGTATTGGGATTAGAGGGGTAAGCCACCAGGCCGGGGGTCAGTCCCTGTTTTCTGAGGACCCCTGGAGCCCAGGGCAGCATTGGGCAATGCCAGAACCCAGATCTGAAGGAGAGCCAGCCTGGTCCCGCATAGGATCAGATTTTTCCTTGGTTTTCCTTGTTTTTTTTACTTTTTTTTTTTTTTTTTTTTTTTTTTCTGGGATGAACTTAATGACTTGGAAACAAATTTAATCCTTTCAAGTCTTATTTTCAAGATTAGTTTCTGAGCACTATACCCAGAACAACACTCCCCGAATATAAGGGTTTCCACTGTGACTGGTGGAAACAGGCACAGTTTTCAGCCTTGTGTGAGCCCTGGGTTCTCTTCCTTCTAGTCCCCCCCACTTTTTTTTTTGGTTTTCCTTGTTGTTTGAGAGAGGGTCACATTCTATAGTTCAGGCTGGCCTTTAACTCAGTATTGAACCCAGGGTGAGCTCACATTCGAGGCAAACATCCTGCCTCAGCCTCCTTCCTGAGTGCTGGGTTTATAGGCATGTTCCACCACACCTGCTAAGGATCTGGGCCTTTGAGAGAGAAGATGCAGATCTGGGATCAGAGAGATAAGGAACAGGTTGCCACGCCCTTAGAAGCAGCATCAGGAGGCCTAGGAAGAGTCTCACCCATACTGGGAGAGGCCAGGGAGGCTCTGCAGGAAAGAACTCCTGAGCCAAAGAGCTCGGGCCTGAGAACAGCCAGATTGTAGAAGGGAGAGGGTGAAGGGCAGGGAGGGTATCCCAAGCAGGAGACACAATGCGGGCCGGGCGCGGTGGTGCACCCTTGTAATCTCAGCACTCGGAGGCTGAGACAGGAGGATCGCAGTGAGTTTGAGGGCAGCCTGAACTACACAGCGAGACCTCGCCTCAAACAAAACCCTTAGCGGAGCCACAGTAGACGTCGCAGCCAGGCCTGTGGGAGTCGCTCCTGGATCTGCTCCCAGGATTCACGGAGACGACCTTTTCTGCCTGCTTCCAGGCTGCGGACAGTTTGCTGGGCTCCATGACCCAGGCAATCTGGACCTCCAAGCCAAGACTGACGCGGGCCAGGCGGGTCGGCTCGCCCCCTGCGGGCCACCACATATACTGCAGCCTTCAGTCGTTAGAGGGAGTTGTGGCACCTTCCCTCACAAACGTGGCGGACAGACCAAGACTAGATCAGCTGCCCCTCAAAAATATGGCGGCCAGGGCTGGACAGCCCCGCCCCAGCAGAGCCGCCCCATAACTCACGTGATCGCCAGCCCCGCACAGCCATGGCTGCCATGGTCCGCTCATCGGATTGGGCAGTACGAATAAGGCCCGCCTTCTAGTGGGTGTCTCTACACGTGCGTAGAAGCGCTTTGGCCAATCAAATGACAGAAAGCTCTCAGTGCCTCCCGGGTTGCGTCACTTCCTTCGCCCCTGAAGCAAGGGATAAGAAACCCTGCGCCACCATTTCCTCCTTTCCTAGGCGGCTGCCGAAGATGGCGGAGGGTCAGGTTTGTGCTCTGTGCGGGTCGAAGCGGCGTGGGGGGTCTTGTGGAATCCGGGAGAGAAAGCAGTTGGAGCCTCTTTTCCCTCCTATCTGTGCTGTGAAACTTACGGACAATACTAAAGCAAAATGGGTCGGCTTGGCGTGAGGGAGGCGTGCAGCGTGTGCGTAGGAGAAACTGGCTGAGTTCAGGTCTAGGGCGGACTTATATTGCGGCATCGTATTCCTCCCGAGGTGAAAGGTAATGGTGGGGATGGCAGTATAGGAAGAGTTAGGGTGTTGGACACGTAGATCTCGCTTATTGTCGGCCGTGCTGTTCGGGTCAAGGCAGGATGAATTGTATCGTGACCTCAGCGACGGCGACAAGCGAAAAGTGCTGCTGGCGCCGTCAATTAGCCAAAATGACGCAGCTGCTTCAGCTTAATGTGGGAGCGCTTGTCAGGCCTCCCTGCAGTGTCTGGCCTTTGAATTTGAGACCCGCTTCTGCAGCGGCCCGAGGGAGCTGTTTACTGGGTTGCGGGGGTGGATGGCTGTTTCTCTCACCCTTGGGGCTGCTGCATGCCTTGAAGGCGCGTTGTCCCTGGAAGAGGAAGGCTGTGACCAGTGCTCCGGGTGAGAGACTTCGAACCAGCCCTGGGCCCTCGGCGAAACGGGCTCAGCCTTCCCCTCCTGGTCTCCCGGTGGGACATTGTACACTGAGGGGGATGATGGCCCTGGAAAGGTTTTCCTTGTCCTTTGTGGGGTGGGGGACACGGTCTTGTCGAGGCAGGCCTAGGTGGGTGGCAGAACTACCAGCATGTGTTTCTGTGGCTCGCTTTCTGGTAGTTTGTTGCAGATTCCTGAGGCAGGTGCTGGCCTTATTTTAGAGGTGATGAACTGTCGTGGAAAGCAGATTTTTGGCTGAGGTTTTGTTTGGTCAGGAAGTCTGGCTTCAGATTTTGTACCTTTCTGCACTGCCTTCAACAATAAGAAAGGGACTGCATTGTATGCTGTTATGTTACTGTGTTACGGTGTATTTTCCCAAGTTACAGTGAGAACATTTGTTCTTGGTGAGGATGCTGAGGATCCAGTTTTTACAGTTTTCCCCAGCACCTAGAAGCAGCCTGGGCTTTGGCTAATCTCCCTCACCTCCCACCCAAAGCTGTCTTGGTAGTTAAGAAATTCATAGGTGTGGTAGATGTGAGGTTTATCTATAGTCTAGCTACTGGGGAAACTGAGGCAGGAGGAACTTGAGCCCAGCTGTGAGCTGGCCTGGGCAGCATTGGCAAGATACTATCTGAAGAAACCAAAGAAAAATTCCAGTAAAAACATTTTTTTATACATCAGGAGAAATCCTGTGATTTGTGACACAGATGACTGTTTTTTTGCAGCTGGATGACTGGGGACAGTTTATACACTTGGTCAAATCCTATCATCCTTGCACCTAGTAAAATACATTCAAGGATGTAAATTTTTCCTTTTGAAGCACCTGGTGTCTTAGCTCACAGACGCTGGGTCATCCTTTGCCTCCTTGGTGGCAGTTGCCTTAGCTGTAAGTGACCCTTTGGGTGTGACAGGAAGTGCCTGGTGGGATGTGACCCCGCTGGGGCGAGTCCGGCTGTCATTCTCGTAACGCCTCCTCTCATCTCACAGGTCCTGGTACTGGATGGCCGAGGCCATCTCCTGGGCCGCCTGGCGGCCATCGTGGCCAAGCAGGTACTGCTGGGTAAGTTTTTGGTCCACTTCTCCCTGTCTTTAGCTCCTCCTGGAGGTCAGTGATGAGCAACAATCACCATCTTTCGTTTGAGTCTCACGACCGTGAGATCAACCCCATGCACCGCTCTGAGACCTGCCTGTCGCTGCTGTGTGACTTGAGCAGGAGACTGGCCTGTGGTCAGGGCTGCGATACTCCATTGTGCACAGGGCTCGTTCCCTTGCCCTCCTCCGACGCCTCTCTCCCCCCAATAGGCCGGAAGGTGGTGGTTGTGCGCTGCGAGGGCATCAACATTTCTGGCAACTTCTACAGAAACAAGTGTAAGTTAGATCCCAAGATGAGCCCTGGAAAAGGTCTCAGCATGGCCATGGGTGCTGAGCCTTCTCAGTCTGGAAGCGGGAACAGACCCTGGGGCTCTGGTCGCCTGGGGGCTGTAACAGGCTCCCGTCCTCTCCCCCCAGTGAAGTACCTGGCCTTCCTCCGCAAGCGGATGAACACCAACCCATCCCGCGGCCCCTACCACTTCCGGGCCCCCAGCCGCATCTTCTGGCGGACCGTGCGAGGTGAGCTGCACGGCAGTGAGGTGTCGCGCTGGCGGCCAGTGATGAGGATGTCTCCCACTTGTGTTCGAGTTCCCCGACCATGAGAAGACTCCACATGCACTACCATCTGAGGCTGCCGAGCCGGCCCTGAGGGGAGGTGGGCGTCCTGCCGACCCCTCTGAGCAGCCTGCACTGCTCTGCCCCCAGGTATGCTGCCCCACAAGACCAAGCGAGGTCAGGCCGCCCTGGACCGCCTTAAGGTGTTTGATGGGATCCCGCCGCCCTATGACAAGGTGAGGCCACCCTCACACCCGTGCATGTCCTTGTCTGGCGTCGGTGATGTTCCATGATTACCTACATTGTTTGAGCCTCATGAAAAGAAAAACGACTGAGATGCCTGCCCCAGCAGCCTCTGTTCCCTGTGTCCCCACCGCAGCCCTCTGAGCCCCCTTGTGTCCACAGAAAAAGCGGATGGTGGTTCCTGCTGCCCTCAAGGTGGTTCGCCTGAAGCCCACGAGGAAGGTGAGTTGCAGGTTACACTGGGCCCAGGGCTTGAGGGTAAGCACAGGGTTCCCAAACTGGCAGATGATGGCTTTTTCTCACGATGGTCTGCGGATGCCACTGGGCAGTGCCGATAATGCCAAAGGCTCAGCTGATGCCAAGAGTGGGGACCTGAACACAGGGCAGGTGTGGCCTCTTCTAGTCTGGGCAGAGTTCCCAGGTTCCTTCCCACAGATGGAATCTGCCCTCTGCTGCCCCAGTTGAGGCTCTGAGGGTGGGAGGCTTGTGTGTCCCCACACTTTCTTTGGGGTACAATATCGGGAATTGAACCCAGGCCTTACACTGAGACCATCTCAGTCTCCCTCCTGAGTGCTGGGACTATAGCAGTGTGCCACCAGGCCGGCACATCCTCAGTGTCATCCCCCTGCAGTTTGCCTACCTGGGCCGCCTGGCTCATGAGGTCGGCTGGAAGTACCAGGCGGTGACAGCCACCCTGGAGGAGAAGAGGAAGGAGAAGGCCAAGATCCATTACCGGAAGAAGAAACAGATCATGGTGAGGGCAGGGCTTCTCACCGGTGCACTGGGCAGCTGGGGGTCTGACCCCAGGGAGCTCTTAAGACCCAGCCCAGGAGCCCCCACTAACCACCAGCTGTCCTTGTCCCTACAGAGGCTACGGAAACAGGCTGAAAAGAACGTAGAGAAGAAAATCTGCAAGTTCACAGAGGTCCTCAAGACCCATGGACTTCTGGTCTGAGCCCAATAAAGACTTTATGCCTCACGCTTGGCCTGGCCTGCCCTTCCTCCATCGCCGCCCTGGGATGTGGGGGACCCAGGGGCGGCTGTCCAGGTGCCACAAGTGAGCTAGGGGGAAAAGAGCACTTTAGGCTTTTCCTCTTTAAGGTCTTTCCCTGAGCTTTAAGCCATGTACAGATGGGATTTCTGACCTTGTGGAAAGAACCTTAGGAAAGTGCTAAGACCACTGGTTGCTTTGGTTCCGGTGCCTTCCCCTCTGCCTATGTGGCCAGATGCCATACTCTGCAGCTGTCAGGATGGGAGGGGGCACCGCTGCCTTGGGCCAGAGCCAGAGGTGCCAAGCTGGGAGGGTGTGCCACTAAGGGATTGCAGGCCAGGCCCTCGCCCCTTCCCTCTTTGTCACCAGAAACGAATAAATTATTTGTAAAGAAATGTGGCGTCCTTGCATGTGTGCTGTGGAGGCAGGCCCAGAGAGCATGGGCCCTTCACAAGGGAAGGGGCCTTCTATGAATGAACTTAATCTGCTTTAGAAAAGAGGTTTTGTGAACATTCATGTGCGTTTTTCCAGTGTAACTTGAACATCTTAAACATGGCCTGCTGTGACTGCTGTATTCCAGTTAGGTGAAGTTGCTAAAACAGCTGCAAAGTATGGGACTGCCACAGTTTTTTGTTTTGGTGTGTGGGTGTGTGGGTGTTGTTTTTTTTTTTTTTTTTGAGACGTCTTGCTCACATTGTAGCTCAGACTGGTGATCCTCCTGCCTCAGCCTCCTAAGTGTTGGGACTACAGACGTGTGCCAGAAACCCTGGCATGAGATTGCTACAGTTTTAAGCGGGTCCCCACTGGCTCCAGGAGTCCTGGGGACTTTGCCAGTGGATTAGATACTAGAATGGAGGATGTTAATTGAATCTCACCAGTAGACATGCTGGGTCTGCCCAGTAAGTCACCTAGGGGATCTATGGTAGGAAGTTTCTTCAGTCTGGGTGGGACCCACCCGCATGACCCTGACCACATTTCACTTACAGAGTGTAGGGATTTTGTCTGCCAGGGGTTAGTAACTTACAAAATGCCCCGGTGTGTTCAGTAAATGGTTTCTCTGCCACCGCCAGAAAGCCCAGGGAAGCTGCACAGATTTAAAGCACAAAGCTCCATGTTCAACAGTAATTGAATGCATCCAAAGGCAAGATGCATTTAAAAAGATCAGACGAAACCAGTGTGGGGCAATTAGAGGCCCTGTTTCAAAAAGTGAAAACCGCAGCCCAGTTGAAGGGCCCGGACCTATTTAAATTCAAAGCTAATAAAAATTAAAACTAAAATTTAAGGTTCTCAGTCGCAAAAACCACATTTCAAGTGCCAATGGCCAGCGTGCTGGACAACAGGTACACAGAATTTTCATCGCGAAAAGTTGTTAGCGCCATTGTACACAGAAAAACACTCCCGCTCCCCAACACAGGAGAGAACTGTGACCGGAGGAGCAATTTTCATCAAGCCTCTAAAATCTCGGGGGCAGACCCCGCCCCTCAACAATGGCACCGTTGTGCTCCGAAGACCCTTGTGCCTGTCCCACAGGAAGATGGCCGCCACCACTGCCTCAGGTTCGAAGACTGAACCTACACCACCACGCGGCCTCCAGATTCCACGGGAACGTACGCCCCGCAGAAATATGGCGGCTTCCCTACAACTCTCGCGATAACAAGCCAGGCCCTTCATCCTAGCCTAGGGTTCTCAGGCGGTTACCCTGGATCAAAATCTCGCGAGACAATAAAACCGCTTCCCGCTTCTCAGTCCTTCACCATTATGGCGGCGTAAGTTCAGTCCCCCAACGCGTGGTTGGTTAGTGCCACCTATCTATCAAAGTCGTGTCCAAAGCGTCTACCACAGCCGTGTTCCCCCTCCCGTCCGTCTCCTTTCGTCACTTCCTGTCTAGCTCCTGCGCAGTCGATAAGGAAACCCGCACGCCACCGTCGTTCTTTTTTTCAGCCGGCCTGGAAGATGGCGGACATTCAGGTGGGTCCTCGGAGCTTTTCCCGGCGTCCGGCGCCCGCCTCCTGCTTCCCGGTAGCGTCCGGGAGGGCAGGACACTGCGCCCCGTCTGGAGTTTATTCTGGGCATCTTCGATCTGCTAGGGAATTAATGCGGGCGGCAGCAGCGTGCATTTGCATTAGCGTAGATTAGCGTTTCCTCCAGTTTGCGAGCTCTTGCGTTAATGAGAATTCAAGCGTTTTAGGACGCTTTTTTTTTTTTTTTTTTTTTTTTGGTACTGGGGATCGAACTCGGGTCCTTGCGCTTGTTAAGCAGGCGACAGAACCACTGAGCTAAATCCCCGGCCCGAGGACGCTTTCATATTTAAACCTCAAAATTTAAGAGAAGGTGACATCTTGGATCTTTAGTCTCAAGGTTTAAGTCTGTGGGTGAGTCCTAAGGGATGAATTCAGGTAGCAGAGAGGTGTGCTGGAGCGTACGAATTAAACAGTACTGAGTTAGATTTAGGGCCATCTGCGTTTACACGTAAATTTGGAGTGGTTGTGTGGTACAGGGTGCTTCTGGGGCGTTGGGCCTCCAGGGGGTGGTGCCTGGGGACTAAATGCTCTAGTGGGTGGCTCTGGGGCTCGAGCAAGGTCACTACTAGGCCAGGTATTGTCCTGTTCGGAGCTCACCAGCTTCCTTCACCATTCCTATAGACAGAGCGTGCCTACCAGAAGCAGCCCACTATCTTCCAAAACAAGAAGAGGGTCCTGCTGGGAGAAACTGGCAAGGAGAAGCTCCCTCGGTACTACAAGAACATCGGTCTGGGCTTCAAGACCCCCAAAGAGGTGAGGAAGGAACCTCACAAGAGGAGACAGACCTGTGGCTGCACGTGTGGGAACAGCGTTGCCCTGGCCACATCTGATTGGCTACCCCTGGGGCTGCCGGGAATTGTAGTTTGTGTCCCTCGGGCCACGCCCCCAGTTCTTTTCGCAAACTGCTTGCCCATGGCTTACTCCTCCATTGCTTTTTTCCTTCTGTCAGGCCATCGAGGGCACCTATATTGACAAGAAATGCCCCTTCACCGGTAATGTCTCCATCCGAGGCCGGATCTTGTCTGGTGAGTGAAGGGCTCTGGAAACTACTGGAAGAAGGGGTCTCGGGCACCGGCAGATGATGTGTTTTCTCACGATGGTCTTCAGAAGCCCGCCATGGGCACTGCTGAGAAAGCCAGTTGGCAACGCTGATGCCGGAAATGGTTCAGGAACCCCGCTCAGCTGCGTCTGATTCCCAGCATGCCCTGGGCTACCTGTGACCCCTTTTCCAGCAAGGCCTGGGTGACTCATGACCTGTTGTCTGCCCCTGCCCCAGGCGTGGTGACCAAGATGAAGATGCAGAGGACCATTGTCATTCGCCGTGACTATCTCCACTACATCCGCAAATACAATCGCTTTGAGAAGCGCCACAAGAACATGTCTGTGCACCTGTCCCCCTGTTTCAGGTGAGCACGGTGGGCCCCCAAGTGGCCTGGGGCAGTCGGCTGGAGTGACACTGGTGACAGGCCCTGCGATCCCAGCATTTTCTAGCGTGTTGCTCAGCACAGTGTGAGCAGGCAGAAGTCTGGGATTGGGTTAATTATTGCTTGGGAACAGGGTGGGCAGCTGCATGGGCAGAGGGCATCCCCGGGACACTGCCCTCGGTCGCGGTCGGCAGGTGACCCTTCCTGAGGGCCTGGCCCTGCCCCCTCAGGGACGTCCAGATTGGCGACATTGTCACGGTTGGCGAGTGCAGGCCACTGAGCAAGACAGTGCGCTTCAACGTGCTCAAGGTCACCAAAGCTGCCGGCACCAAGAAGCAGTTCCAGAAGTTCTGACGGCGCCTGACCGCCCCCCAAAGGGAATAAAGTTATTTTTGCTCTCACCATGGACCAGGCTTGGATCTGTCACAGTGGGGCTCTGGGTGTGGTGGGTGAGGCGGCCTGGCTGTCCCGCCTGCTGTTTTGGTCCTTGTCACTTTCTCTCCTGTCTGATTGGATGAGCCTGGCTACCTGCTGCCGCCCCTGCCCCCCCATTGCTGGGGAGGAAGTGAGGGGGGAGGTGCCCTGTGCTGCGCTCTAGCAGGAGGGTCCCCTGCTTCTGGGCTTTGCCTGAGCCTCCTGCCTACCCCAAAGCTACGAGAGGGCCCTAAGCAAACACCTGGGAAGGGGCAGGTCCCCAGCTGGCACCCAGTGAGTGTTGGGTCCCAGGCCTCAGGCTCAGGAAACACACTGGCAGTGGCTACTTCCACACCTAAGGGGTTAATCCAGGGCTGTGCTTGCTAGGCCAGTCCTGTACCACTGAGCACATGCCAGCCCTAGGGGACAGGCCTCCAGGAAAAGTGGCCTGGAAGAGACCCTGCAAGGACCAGCCCAGCTCCCAGCGCACCGTGGAACTCGGCACCAGAAAACATCCTGGTCCTACCTGCCCACTGCCACCCCCACCCTTTTTGGTTTTTTGAGACAGGGTCTCACTATGTAGTTGAGACTGACCTGGAACTCACCATGTAGCCCAGGCTGGTCTCGAACTCAACAGCGATCCTCCTGCCTCAGCCTCCCAAGTGCTGGGATTACAGGTTTGCACCACCACCCAACTTGGGACCTAGCTCTTGAGGAAGCAGGGTACTGCGTAGGCCCAAGGTGGGGGCAGGGTCAGGATGACAGCAAGAGCTGGGACTCTTTGACAGCCCACCAAGTATCCACTAGGAGAGGGCCAGAAGGGCCTGCAGGACCCTTGAGTGGAAGGTGGACCGGGTGCACCCCACAGGCAAGGCTCAAAACATTCGGAAAGGATGGTGTAATCCCAGTATGGGGAGCCCGAGTCAGGACTGCTGCGAGTTTGACCAGTCTGTGGTGGAATAGGGCCCCATCTCAAAAGAAAGAGAGGACTTGCACCTGACGGATCCAGGCTGCCCCTGGGCAGAGGACAGCGAGTGCTGGGGTCCCCCGTTGCCTTCGCCTCAGGCCGCCGTGCTGGGGTCCCCAGGTCCCTGCCCCCCAGGCCTGTACCAGCGTCTGAAGCGCAGCACTGGTACAAGGGTTGGGAGACAGGGCCCCGAGGAGAGGAGCAGCCTCCAGGAACGCGCACCCTCTGCGGCGTCGCTGCCTTTTACCCGGCCGAGGGCGGGGGCTGCTGCAGAGGAAGTGGCCCGCACGAGGGGCAGGAAGGGCGGGCACCGCGG